CCCCCCCCTCTCTGTAGATAATGACCGGTACCTAAGGTCATTCATGATCCCCCATCACAAATATCCTTTCATTCAGAAAGCGTGGTATTTAATTGAATAAACTGCGCTGCCCTTAATTGTGCGAGTAAAAAAGGAGGCTGTTTCTCAATAAACTGAGGTGATCTTGAATGAAAACGAAAACCAACGGGGGAAAAAGAGAGTCTCATTCATACAAAAATGTTACTACACAAATTAGTATAAATTTCTCCAGAATAGAGATAACAACTTTAAAAGTGAATCTCTAATTTAGAGTAAAAAGCGAAACAAATTTATGTTACTGGCATAGCGTAGCGTCAATCTGTTTAAGTCCTGGTAAAGCTAGTTTGACCTTCCTTCTGTAAGCAGACCCTGCTTCGTGGTAGATGGGGTTCCTTTCCAGGTATATCGTGGTCAGCTTTGAACAGTTCTTCAGTTCATCAAGATCTTCCCAATGCTCAAGTTTATTATCATTAAACTGCGTACGACAAAAGATTGTTAACAGAAATGGTTATTACATTTGAAATTATTGTGCACTCGCCTCTCACGGCCTTTGGGGTCTAGAGATCGAATCGCGTACTCATGTGGATAAAGTTTCATCTCTCCCTTCTTTCGAAAGTTTTTCTCCAGATTATTTATTCCCTCCACAAATTCTATGAACAGCCTAAACTCCAATTCGATGTGTGAGTTACCCAACTAGTGAGATCAGCCCAGAGGTTGTTTCAGGGTTTGATCTGTGAGTTAGCCATGCCCTGACTTAGATCATCCCAGAGGTTGTTTCAGGGTTCTATCTGTGAGTTAGCCATGCCCTGACTTAGATCAGCCCAGAGGTTGTTTCAGGGTTACATAAAATGTTAAGGATATTTATCGAGAGCGGGTTGCGCGGAGTACAGAAAAGTAATTATGAGAAAGTCCGTCTATAATCACCGTTGCCATCAGTTGTCGGCCATCAGTGGAATTAAAATCTTGTCCCACAAACAACAAGTATAAGGAGGCAATTAACGATTGAAACAATTTATAATCTTTTTACTGCAATCAAAATTTTAGTTTTTATAAGATATTCTAGTTAATTTGTTGAGCTTGTGGGACATAACAACGGTAACTATGGTGAGTCGGAACCATGAATACCATTTCTTTGCTTATTTACCCAGAATTCCTCCAAATTAACGAGATGTGAAACGTTTGTTATTCTTGAGATTCTGTTGTTTGCCAAGTCCAAGGTAGTCAGCTTCACCTGTCGCGATAACAACGAGAAGAAAAAAATCATTACCTTGTAGAAATGACAAACATTTTTACAGCACGTTTTTTTTGTTCACTGTGTAGCGGTGCAAGGAACTGAGGAGGGAAGAACGGCATTCCTTTTCTATGGACGAGGTATTCCCATCTCTCGCGAGAAAAAGAAGGATTCGTATCTTTGCGCAAGTTCAGCCACAGCTAATAAAGCTGTTTTTAAATAGTGACGACATTCGTAAGAAAAACGACTTCCGGTTCCAAGTCGAAAAGCAGATTTTTAAAAGATTTTTCTGGTTGCGAGTTTCTTGATAATACTCATTGATAATACTCATTGATAATACTCATTGATAATACTCATTGATAATACTCATTGATAATACTCATTGATAATACTCATTGATAATACTCATTTTTTGTCGAAAACACTGCACGTTGTAGGTGTAACTGGTAATTTCGGAAAATAACTTTTTACTCTTAATATTTTAGCGATTTTCAGTGTCTGCGGACCCTGAAATAAGTCCATTAAACGTATAGTTTCGTCAACTTTCTTTCGGAAATACGAGAAAAAAGTTTTTTTTTGAAGAAAAACTCACCAGATTATCTAGCCCTTTTATTTCTTGTATTCCATTGTGGCTGATATACAACTCTTCTAGGTTCACCAAACAGTCAAGTCCTTTCAGTTCTATTATACGATTACTCTGTGAAAACAAGCACACTCGTTAGCCTCCCTCCGTGCGACCTCCATGCAGCAGGACACTGTTCTATCCAACCCGATCAAGGGAACGCTCATTTTTATAGGCATGAGGGGCTGATGGGATTTTTTCGTACTCTAGGTAAAAAAATGTATGACCCCTTTCGCCAACCTAAATTTATTTTAAAAAAACAATGATAATTTTTAAAATAAATTTCCTAYTTAAGCTTATTATTCTTGGGGAGGCCCCCCTTGAATTCTATATATTTTGCAAACCCCACTAAATCGCACCAGCACCCCCCTCCCCCATCCCCCCTCCCCCATTCCCCCCATGCCTGTAAAAAATGAAGCGTCTCCAAAATGATTATATAGCTTACTAGTATGTGCATCATGATTGGTTGAGAACTGTGCTGCTTTGAGTTGGTGAAAGGGGCACGATTGCTGACAACCGATAAAGCGTAAGAAAAAMCCATTGAAAACTACAATGGATTTGTTTTCTTTTCAATAATAAATGTTACTGACCAGAAAAAAATTGCATCTTATTAATTAATTAATTTAATCTTATAATCTTTTATCTCTCTCTTTTATTTATATATTTACTTAGTATTAATGCAAGTTTTGTAGCATACCGTGGGAAATTCGTACGGGTTTAGAGTAAATAAGTAGTAAGCCTTTTGCTTGTAAAGTAGACGTAGAGACAAGAGGAATTGTATTAATAAAGTAGTCAGTCAACCTGGTAACTCTTGTAAATGAGTGCTCACAAAAAGCACTTAGGAAATGCCGAAAACACTCAAGAAGTGTAAAAGCACTTGACACCCTTGGCTTGTGCTTCTTCTTACACTAAGTGCTGTAATTTATTATTTAATGAAGCATGAAAAAGCGGTTTTATTTGTCAAAAGGTCGGTTTAGACGGTACGATTTTTGCCTACAACTATCGTATACAACATGCTTGCGCCATCCTACGACTCGAGTCGTAGCGTGTAAATCAACCCTACGACTCGCCTACGACAGACGCGAGCGTGTTGTATACGATAGTTGTAGGCGAAAATCGTAGAGTGCAAGCAATTAATCCGTGTAACACTAATTACTAAATAAGACAAAATAGTGTTAATTAAACAATAGAAAACAATGGAATTTGCATGAAATTGTGCTATTTAGTATTACTAAAGTTTCACGGATTTACTGTGGTCACTCTACCATCTAAATCGGCCTAAATAGAACCCTGCCAGCTAGGCTTGAGGGGTAGTGAGCGCATAGGGTCATTGAAGTTTTTCTTTAATGGTGCTATCTTACCTGTATACTAAGTATTTTCAGGTTAACAAGACAATCCAAATTCTGTAAATAAAATTCAAAAATTAAATTAAAAAGTTAAATGAATTATATAAATTTAAAGTTATTGCAGGGGCGGCAAAAACTCAAAATCTTTGGGGGGGGAGGGGCACTGCGAGGCGTCTGGTGGGGAACTGCAAAAAATCACAACAATAACTCAATAACAGTAATAAGAATCGAAACTATGCATTTATATTTCATGTGAACCAATATTTTATGGGGGGTCCAGGCCCCCCCCAAAAATTTTGTGGCAGGGCACATGCCCCCCCCGGTTCCACTGCCCCTGTATTGTTAAGTATGTTGACAATGTTGAAGCTTAAAATGTTAACTTTATAGAAAAATGCCGTACATGCTTATGATTATCTATAAAATCTTGGTTATAATGCCTGGTGGCTCATACCTGCAGAGATGTGATCTTGTTTTTCCCAACGAATAAGCTTTGTAGTTTGGTTAAGTTATCCAGTCCCTCAAGCACCTAGGAATGAGACAGTTCATAGTATAATGGGTTATTAAATGAATGAGTTCAACAAAGTATTTATTCCACCTTGTAGTATCAATGTAATTTTTATAGTTGGAGCAGAGAAAGCTCACTCCATAGATGGTATGATTAATTCCATATTTGGATCGTGCGGAAAAGCGGCAAACAAAAAGGCCGTTGTTTTATGACGAATTCGACATGTACACTTTTGAAGAAGAAAAGAAAAGAAAAAAAAAAAACAAGTAAAACCAGAAAAACTTTGGAAAATTGAGCAAGAATACAGGGACGATGCTAACTTGTGGGTCTGCCTAGCAGACACAAGGAAATACGACACTCAATGTTTGATATGAAGTAGGACCCAAAATGGCTCTGCCGACAAAACTGACAAAGTGGGTGGTGATCAAAGAGTTAGGAGGTGGTGCCCCTTTCTTAGATGATTTTACTGCCTACTATGCAGAATTCAATAACTATAGCCTTAGTAATTAACAATTATTATTCGCCGAATTTAATAAATAATGGAGAGAGAGGGTTTTTTTGTTCATATTCTATTTATCTCTGCAAGCGTCACAAACTGACTAACAAGTGTGCATGTGCGAGTGTCATATTCACCTGTAGGTGAATATAGCAGCATAAGGCATAAATTGCGACCAATGAGCATGCCGGATTTATTATATCCACTTGTGTAAAAATACTAAAACTACATAGTGTTATATTATTATTATATAACATTATTTTTAGTTTCTAGGTGATCTTACCCTTATTTTATTAGCTCCAAGTTCTAACATATCAATGTTTGTCAGGTTATCCAATCCTTCAATCTTACTGATTTTATTCTGGACTAAGAAAAGCTTCTCTAATTTTGTCAATGCATCAAGATTTTCAATGACTTTGATGATATTGAAGGACAAGTCCAGAGACCTGAAAGAAAAAATTATTTGTTTTCTAAGACAAGCTATGCATTATTGGTAGAAACCTACTAATGGTGTATCACAAATCCTGTGCTCTGATTGGCTGAGCTACTAGTGGTCTATTGGTGGTACATCACTAGTACCGAAAAGTAGCAGTTTTGAAAAACAAATCCACAAAATAATAAAATTATACAACTTAATTTTTTAACATTGTTTGTGTTCATTTATTTGACCTATTTATTGGTCAGTTTATACTTACTATAACAATTAGACCTCTCACCCTCATGGTAACTCATGGTTGGCCTTTGACCTAATGGACTATTGACCTGAGACCATTCGTGCTGCAGGTCTAACATTAAATAACTTACAACATAAACAAACATTTTTTTTTTTACTTCAATCATGCAGGGAATAATTGTTTAGTCTTCAAGCCAGAGGATAAGTTGTATTTAACCCTTTTAGTACTAGAGGCTAAAAGGGTCCAACTCAGGCTCTTCATGGAACATAATAATTAGGAGGGTGCTTTTTTTATTTCTCAATATCAATGAAAGAAAACATATTTTCAGTAGATAACACACATCAAAGCAGTTGATAGAATCAGATTGGTTAATGACCCCCCCCCCCCCCCCCCAAAAAAACAATAGCCCACATGTTTCAACACACAGAAATGTCCTAGGAGATGGATATTGAAATTGAAAAGCAGGAATGTCTTTCCACTAGCCACTTTTGGCCACTTCAGCATTTCCGGTTGGCTGCTTTTGGCTGCTCTAGTTAGTAGTGAAACTGCACTGGGTTAAGCTTAACTACACAAAAGCAGATGGATTWGGAATGTTATTTTTTGTGGGGGTAGGAAAACTGGAAAGCTAGACAAAAACCCAAGTGCAAGTCAAGTGAACAAAAAGAAAGTCTACATTAGCCATACTGAGGTTGAGGAAAACACCTTAGGTCCAGTCCAATGGCATTGCAGTGCATTGTGGGACATATTTTCGACCCCCAAAAAGACATTCAAATTTTACCAATAACCTGAAACAACATCTGGGTTGATCAAAGTCAGGGCATAGCTAACTCACAGATAGAACCCTGAAACATCCTCTGGGCTGATCTAAGTCAGGGCATGTCTAACTCACAGATTGAACCCTGAAATAACCTCGACCCTGGGCTGATCAAAGTTAGGGCATAGCTAACTCACAGATTGAACCCTGAAATAACCTCTGGGCTGATCAAAGTTAGGGCATAGCTAACTCACAGATTGAACCCTGAAACATCCTCTGGATTGATCAAAGTCAGGGCATAGCTAACTCACAGATTGAACCCTGAAACAACCTCTGGGTTGATCAAAGTCAGGTCAGAGCTAACTCAAAGATCAGTTTTCGGTTTTGCGGAGGGAGGAAACCGGAGAGAAAAACCTAAGAGAAAAACCCATGTACTTATTACTGTCCAGAAACTTACGTCAGTCCTGTTAGGGTTTCGAGATTCTCAATTTTTGATATCTGGTTGTCATAAAGATCCAGTTCAGTGAGTGTTGTTAGAGTTGAGAGATTTTCAATCTTTTTGATTTTGTTTCTTCTTAAACATAGCGACTGAAACCAAAAAAAATTAAGTCAGTAACAAGTCAGTATAAGAGAAAATTAACTAAGAGAAAGAATCTCTGGTATACATGCTTTTAACCATCATAGGTACCGTTTGATGCTATTTTTAAAATCATACTGCTCATGCTCTATGCTGTTTGCTTATGGTTTTTTTTTTTGAAAAACGTAAGAAAACATGAGCAAACAGTGTAGAGAATGCGAAGCATGGCCATGCAGAAAAACAAATGAACAAATGAATAATTCTAAAAATAGCTTCAAAGATTCTAAAAATAGCATCAAAGGGTACTCTTGATGGTGCATGGGGATTCTTTCTCTTGGTCAGTACCAACACATATGACAACATTAACAGGGGTGGAGTGGCAAAGGAGGGCCCAGGAACCAGGAGTACTGAAAAGGACATCTAATCATCCCCCAACCYCGTCCTTTTTTGCAGAAATAAAAAATATATTTGTAACTGAAAATATCTATCTGGATTAACTTTCACTTGAAGCTCTTAAATTGATTTCTGTCTATTTGAGATGCCATTTTTTCATCAATTTTCTCCCGTTTATGGGTTTGCTATAGCATTAGCATGAGGTACCCTGTAAGAGTCAGCCCCTGCATATCAGCTGTCGTCATATTAGTCAAATCCTTGCTATGATACTAAAACTGTTCCTGTGTAATGCACCAGTCAAAGTAAACCTCAACCCCCCCCCCCCCCCCCCCCCTCCACCCTGGGATATGCATGGGAGAAATTTTGTGGTAAAAAGCAAAACAAGACCCACCCCCTGGGGCAACTAAATTTGGCTTTGCAAAATATTTTCATAACTAGTTGTTTTTTATAAGAAAGTAAAATGCTGCAACAATGGCAACCATCTTGGAATTTACAAAACCAATCCCCACTTAATGCCCCACATTCCTTTGGCACGGATGACAAAATGGGTGAATCACCCACATAGTCGGGACCCAAACAGCTGCTAAAAAGTAACAAATCCCCACCGAATCCCCAAATATCCTGGGATGGTGGGGTTAGGGTGCATGAAATAGTGGAACAGTAGGGTTCTCAGGCCTTTTATGACACATGGACCTTTAGCAGTTATAACTTCAACAAACAAGATCTTTTGGTTTTTTGATTGAATATAAAATGCAGGCGCATGTCTCTGTACTGTGATATAAACATGCTGGGAGCTGTAGAGCAGGAGAAAAGCAAGCTTAGGAACACGAGGCATAGCCAAGTATTTCTCTCAATTTTCAAGTGCTCTACAGAGTGTTTATACCATATAGCTTTTATAAATTGCTTTTTGACAATTTTGCCAAGCTTAACTGTTCTCTGACAAACACAACAGCCAGCCAATCAGCACAAGCATTATATCTCAAATATTTTATATTCTGTAATATAATAAGACTTTACCTTTACACTAGTCAACTTTTCAAAGTTTTCAATTTTCTCCAGTTTCACATGAGTCAAATCTACGTACTTCGAAAAAAATWAATTAAAGATTAAAAATTAGTAATAAAGTATAAGCAAAGTTTAAATAAGTATGGCAATTAAAATTGGCACTTGAAGTTAAGTTGTCAAGGCAATTGCAGTGTTACAGGGGCGAGCTTCAATAAATATTTTCTTTCATATCAGTTCTACAATAGTCACTTCTGACAATGAATGTAATTTAGTTGTTTTTGATCTGTCATAATTCATAATCTGTAACATTTCTGTAAAATATAATAGCCAAAAAGACTCTTAGTATCCATACAAAGTCTGAAAACACTAAGACAAAACAAATATAAGTTTTCAAATGCTCGAAGTATGCCAAAATGAGTACAAAGTACAAGCTCGCATTTTAAGCTTTTATTTGTAAACAATTTTATTTGTATTTTGTACCTCTGCATCTGGTTTAAGCAAAACGCGTTGGACTTCATTAGAACCTACAAAGTAAAAATGACACACAATGAACATAAAAATGACATATTTAGTTGGTATAATGATTCATTCAAGATGTTTTTACCGTCAAAACCGTCGGCAGTTGGGCTCACAGCTTCGTTGTCTTCCTCCATTTTGAAAATTCTGGTTGCTCAGCCTCTTTCTGGTTAACACAGGAGGCCCAATCACGATATCATAAAACGCCAACCACTAAAGAACTCTCATTAGATTTTCAAGAGATATCTCTTCTAGAAAACAAATGACGGGGGATGACGGGGTTCAATTAATAAAGGCCTTTTGCAAAGTTGCTATTGAATAAGTAAGGTCTTTTCATTAGGTCTCTATAAAAACACAGGAAGCCCAGTGACAGCAGTTTTCAGCACCAAATATTTATTTGAGATTCGCGCGCTCTGTTTTGTGAAACGCTTCAAAAAATCAGGTAACAGGAAACCTGCTCAACTCAAAAGTTTTGTTCATCTTATTTAAGGCATAGAAAACACACGCGCATGTCTCTGTAATCTCATTTAGCTCAAGCGGAGAGTTTGTGAATAACGCAAGGTTTACTGAATTTATAATAACGAGATGATGGTTGGTGGTATATGACGTCACGTCATATCAGGTGCTTAGATGATTGACAACACAAGTCTCACCAATGCTACCAAGTTTCGTTACCATAGCATATTTTGTTCAGGGGTTATGGCCAAGGGGCCACCAGATGCGTGTGGGACCACGAGATGCGGTACTTGAAAACGAATCGACGACCGATTCTTTATAAGCTCCTTTTCAATTTTTCTTTACGCGCTGCGACCGAGGGAGCACATTAAAATTTTGTTTGTGTAAAGAAAGTTATTGCTCTTGGTTGATCTATCTACAATCCTGGACAAAAAATTGGGACAGCAACAAAAAATTACATGAAATTGTTATCTTCTCTTCCCCTCCCCCCCCCTTTTAGGGTGGTCCAC